CGTAGGGGTCGGGCTTAGGGCTTAGGGCTTAGGGCTTAGGGCTTAGGGCTTAGGGCTTAGGGTTTAGGGTCTAGGGTTTAGGGTTTAGGCTTCAGGGTTGAAAGAGGAGGTGATCGTAACCTTATTGTTGAGGGTTTCGGGGGGTTGCCCTCCATCCTTCCATCAGCGCAAAGACATGTTACAACCCCCCCCCCCACCCCACCAAACCCCAAACCCTACAAACCCAAACCCCTAAACTCCCTTAAGCTCCACTGCCCCTAAGCCTGAACCCTAATTAAACCCTAAACCCTAAACCCGAAACCCTTCAACCCTTACGACCTTTGGTCCCTGAAGCGACTCTTGTCCTGGGCTTCTGCCAGAATCCACGGAGAGCAGGGTTTAGGGTTTAGGGTTTAGGGTTTAGGGTTTAGGGTTTAGGGTTTAGGGTTTAGGGTTTAGGGTTTAGGGTTTAGGGTTTAGGGTTTAGGGTTTAGGGTTTAGGGAGTCCTGTCAGAGCAAGGAAAGGCGTAGAGTCCTTGTGAGGAATGTGAGCGTCGACGAGTCCTCGCTGCGCCGGCACCTGCCGCGCTAAACCCTAAACCCTAAACCCTAAAACCCTAAAACCCTGAACCCTAAACGCTAAACGCTAAACCCTAAACCCTAAACCTTAAACCCTAAACCCTAAACCCTAAACCCTAAACCCTAAACCACGCCGGAGACGCGGCCGACTGCGTGCGCATCGGCCTGTCAGTTGGACTCAATTCTCACTACAGCTTCGCCTGCAGATCAACCCTAAACCCTAAACTCTAAACCCTAAACCCTGAACTCTAAACCCTAAACCCTAAACTCTAAACCCTAAACCCTAAACAAGCTTTCCAGACCTTGAGAACCTGAGGCCCTGAACGCTTTTGATGCCCTAGAGCCCCTTTTATCCCTGAACCCCCGTCCCCAAACATCCTCAACCCTTAAGCCCTTTAGAGTCTCATGCTTTAGGGTTTCGGGTTTAGGATTTAGGTTTTACCCTAAACCCTAAACCCTAAACAATAAACCCTAAACCCTAAACCCTAAACCCTAAACCCTAAACCCTTGGGGTCGCGGCACGGGTTTAGGGTTTAGTCTTGAAAGCCTGATGCCCGTAAACCCTTCCGTGCGGACCACATGAACCCTAAAATTGGGGTCATAGACCCTACACTACTATAATTCCTATTAGGCATATGAACCCCAAACCCCAAACCCCAAACCCCAAGCCCTAAACCCTAGACCCTAAACCCTAAACCCTAAACCCTGAACCCTGTTTATCCCCCCAAGCCAGGAACTACCCACTGGACGACGTGTCGGAGGGCCCCTGGGCGCCTTCGGCAGCTGCCAAGGTGCACGGGTTTAGGGTTTAGGGTTTAGGGTTGAGGGTTTAGGGTTTAGGGTTGAGGGTTTAGGGTTTAGGGTTTAGGATTTAGCATTTAGGGTTTAGGGTTACCCGCAAAATTGTCCCCGAAGCCCAAAGACTCGAAGCCAAACACATCCCCAAAGCCTTCGTAGCTGCCAGGCCCCAAATCCCGAACCTCTTTCTTCCCCAAATCGAGCACAGGAACCTCAAGTAGCAAAAGGGTTTAGGGGCTGGGGTCTAGGGTTTGGGGTTTAGGGTTTAGGGTTTCGGGTTTAGGGTTTAGGGTTTAGGGCTTAGTGTTGATGAGGAGTTCAGTCCTCACAGGGCTTTCAAGATTTCCCCAGAAACATCCTCCCCCCCTCCTTCCGCCTGTGTTTTGAATACCCCAAATGTCAGGGACTGCAGACCTAAACCCTAAACCCTAAACCCTAAACCCGAAACCCTAAACCCGAAACCCTGCCAGCCTGACAGGAACTCATGGCCAGGATCCTCGTTTAGAGAACGGACCATGTATACCCTAAACCCTAAACCCTAAACCCTAAACCCTAAACCCTAAACCCTAAACCCTAAACCCTAAACCCTAAACCCTAAACCCTAAACCCTAAACCCTAAACCCTAAACCCTAAACCCTTAGCATCCCGTATAAATCGTGTAAGAACTCTATGAACCCTTGTAAACTCTCTAAACCCTCAAGATTCCAAACCCCTCGTAAACCACTAGAAGCGCTTATGCACCCTTCCCCCCTGGTTCTTAGTAGGGAATGAGGGCCCTATATATACCCTTTAAGGGATGCTGCAGGCCCCTCATTCCCTTGTATTGTAAGCCCTGGCCCTGCAAAACCCTAAACCCCTAAACCCCTAAACCCCTAAACCCCTAAACCCCTAAACCCCTAAACCCCTAAACCCCTAAACCCCTAAACCCCTAAACCCCTAAACACCTAAACCCCTAAACCCCTAAACCCCTAAACCCCTAAACCCCTAAACCCCTAAACCCCTAAACCCCTAAACCCCTAAACCCCTAAACCCCTAAACCCCTAAACCCCTAAACCCCTAAACCCCTAAACCCCTAAACCCCTAAACCCCTTAACCCCTAAACCCCTTAACCCCTTAACCCCTTAAACCCTTAAACCCTAAACCCTAAACCCTAAACCCTAAACCCGAAACCCGAAACCCTAAACCCTAAACCCTAAACCCTAAACCCTAAACCCTAAACCCGAGGGAGAGCCCCATGATTCGTGGATGACTCCTGCGTCCACTCGAGGCCCGCTACGGCTCCACTGCGCCGCGGGAAGGCGCTCTCCAGAAAGGTTTAGGGTTTAGGGTTTAGGGTTTAGGGTTTAGGGTTTAGGGTTTAGGGTTTAGGGAGCACACACACACAAAATGCTTTAGGGTTTTTGGTTAAGGTTTTGCAGGTCTAGGGTCCAGGGTTTAGGGCCTTTAGGGTTTTTCGGCTTTAGGTTTTAGGGTTTAGGGTTTAGGGTTTAGGACCCCCTCAGTTTGTACCCTGGATTTGTCAAGATCCTCTCAGCGCTTGTAGGGTTTTATGTTTAGGGTCCAGGGTTAGGGTCTGTAGGGCTTCAGGTTTAGGGTGTCGGGGTGTACGGTTCAGGGTACACAACACACACCACCTGGGTTTAGGGTTTAGGGTTTAGGGTTTAGGGTTTAGGGTTTAGGGTACAAACCTTACTCTCCTGAATATCTCAAGGGCCGACCGAAGATCTCCGACCGCCGCCAGGCACGTCCTCCCAACAGCTAGCTGCGCCACAGTGAGGGGGAAGAGGTGAAAGGTTTTTTTGTCCCAAAACCCCCCCAAAAACCTTCTAAAACCCCCAAATCCCCTAAACCCCCTAAACCGCAAAACCCCCCAAACTCCCTAAACCCCCAAACCCCCAAACACCCCAAAAACTCCTAAAGCCCCAACACCCCCAAAACCCCCTCAGAGAACCAACAGTGCCAGTTCCGGTTGCTAGAGAGACTTGAGATTCACATTCTTGTACATCGTCAACCTTTTTGCTGTGTTTGGACCTAAACCCTGAAACCTAAACCCTGAACCCTATGTTGGTTAGACCAGCTTAACTTCCAGTTCGGGATGAACATGAACATTGAACGGGTATGACGGGCTATATCTTCGAGTTCTCAATCAGAGCCACCCACACCGAAGCCCAATAAACCCGAAACCCTAGCCCTAGACCCCAGGCCCTAGACCCTCGACCCTAATTCCTACCCAACCACAGCACTAAGCAATCAAAAGGGTTCCCTTCTCCCTAGGTTGCAAGGGAACCTTCCGGCGTGCGGGATTTGTGTCTCTGCGGCGGTTTAATTCATGGAGCCACTAGAGACATAACACGCCAGCTTGAGATCTAAGGGCTCGGGGAACTGAGAGTGGGTTTGGGTTTAGGGTTCAGGGTCTAAGGTTTAGGGTTAGGGGTTAGGGTTTAGGTTCTAGCCCAGCTAGGCTATAGACCAGGTCATCGTTCGGATAGCCTAGCTTGGGGTACTTATTATATAGCTCTACCTACCGGCTACTTCCCGAGCCCTTCAGCATCTTCACGTCCTTGCCAGATCCTGCTTGCGAGGGTGGTGAAAAACAAGCGGTCTTGCAGCAGCTCGTGATTTAGGGGTTTGTCTTCCAAAACACCAAGACTCTAAACCCCAACCGCAAGAAACACACACCCCCAAAGCACCGACCATAACCCCGTACCCTACTCAAAATCGCACCTTAAACGCCGAACCAGAAGCCTTTCTTCTTCTTCTACTACTACTACTACTACTACTCCTGCTGCTGCTACTACTAGTACTAGTACTAGTACTAGTACTAGTACCAGTACTACCACTACTACTACTACTACTACTACTACTACTACTACTACTACTACTCCTACTCCTACTGCTGCTGCTGCTCCTACTACTACTACTACTACTACTACTACTACTACTACTACTACTACTACTACTACTACTACTACTACTACTACTACTACTACTACTACTACTACTACTACTACTCCTGCTGTTGCTGCTACTAGTAGTAGTCGTCGTAGTAGTAGTAGTAGTAGTAGTAGTAGTAGTAGTAGTAGTAGTAGTAGTAGTAGTAGTAGTAGTAGTAGTAGTAGTAGTAGTAGTAGTAGTAGTAGTACTAACAGTAGTAGTAGTAGTAGTAGTAGTAGTAGTAGTAGTAGTAGTAGTAGTAGTAGTAGTAGTAGTAGTAGTAGTAGTAGTAGTAGAAGTAGTAGTAGTAGTACTACTACTACTCCTACTCCTACTCCTACTACTACTACTACTACTACTACTACTACTACTACTACTACTACTACTACTACTACTACTACTACTACTACTACTACGACTACTACTACTACTACAACAACAACAACTACTACTACTACTACTACTACTACTACTACTGCTGCTACTACTTCTACTACTGCGACTACGATACTGCTATGGCTACTGCTAGTACTAGTACTAGTCCTTGTACTAGTTCCAGTACTAGTGCTAGTACTACTACTCCTTTTGCTATTGCTATTGCTATTATTGCGACTGCTACTGCTACTGCTACTCCCCGTGGCTGCCTTGTTGCCCCCTTTTTTGGGGGTATCCCTAGGGTGGCAGGGCTACCCAGCGACCCGCGTTTTGAGGAGGGGCTGCCCATACGCCGATGGATGACGTCATCAATCATACAGGCGGGGGTTCCTAAACCCCAAGCCGTATTCCTTGCTCGTGCACATTTCGCCAGTGAACCCTAAACCCTAAACCCTAAACCCTAAACCCTAAACCCTAAACCCTAAACCCTAAACCCTAAACCCTAAACCCTAAACCCTAAACCCTAAACCCTAAACCCTAAACCCTAAGCTCTAAACCCAAAAGCCCAAAACCCCCAAAACCCAAGAGCAAGAAGGCTTCGGTTGCGCATGAGCACATCGTGCAACCTACTTGGGGGTAGTTGGAACACGGGTCCTAGATTGCCGCGAGGTTTTCGGCATTTTCGGCAATCTATGGTCTGTTTCCGGCTTTGGGGGGGGGGGGGGGGGGGGGGGATAAGAACGTCATTCATATTGCTTCCATGCACAAAACTCTGGTATTTACTGCGTTTTCGCCTCTTTGTACAACACACTGCGCAAGGATGTGGAACAAGACACGTTGTCACAAGCGTCCATGCCAGTTGCGACGATGCCGAAAACACTGGTATTTACCGCGGTTTTGCTTCGTTGTACGACATACTGCGCAACAATGCGGGGCAGGACACGTTGTCACAAGCGTCCATGCCAATTGCGACGATGCCCAAAACACTGGTATTTTCCACGTTTTCGCCTCTTTGTACAACATACTGCGCAAGGATGTGGAAGAAGAAAAGCTGTCACAAGCGTCCATGCCTTTGGCTGAAGTACGATCTCATTTAACACCAAAGCCCCCAATTCAGTAAACATCGAAGTAGTTTTTTTGCTGGTTATTTTGCTGTTTTTTTGGCCTCCTGTTTTAGGAATCCTCCAGAAACCCAGGTAAAACATACGTTTTCGCACACCCCAGCACCACGGCAATCTAGGACCCGTGTTCCGGGTAGTTCTCTAAGTTCAGGTCCCTTTTTGGATCCCCACATGGTACGGCACTCCAGAAAATGAGGACACTCAAAAAGGGATGATAATGTAGGGAACTACTAAAAAAGGGGCCGTTGTAATTACCAATAGTACTTCCCTTTTTGTCCCCTATATAAGGATAGTATAGGAACCTCCACGACTCTACTCTATCTTGTTAAGGCCCCTATATTACCCGCTTGCCCAGTTCCATGAGCCCTGAAGGAGGCAGCGCTCACACCGTGTCGCGAAGCTTGGCAGCTTTGCCGCCGGCCCACGCGAACGTTTCAGGAGCTTGCCTGGGGTTTAGGGTTTAGGGTTTCGGGTTTAGGGTTCAGGGTTCAGGATTCAGGGTTCAGGGTTCAGGGGTTCAAGGTTTAGGGGTTTTTAGGGTTCAGGGTGGCAGGTGCCCCTCCTAGCCTCATCGACCCAAATCCATCCTAAACCCCTCAACGCTCAAACGCCGAAGATCCCCCCGGCTTTTAGTAGGGAATGAGGGAACTAGGGCCCCACATATACCCTTTAAGAAAAGGAATATATAGGTACCTCATTCCCTCATTCCCTCATTCCCTGCTAAGAACCCGCCAGGCATAAGACCCCAGGACTCGAAACACCCGACGTGGATGGCCAAGGTCACTTGTTGGGATTAGGGTTTAGGGTTTAGGGTTTCGGGTTTAGGGTATAGGGTATTTAGGGTTTAAGGTATTTAGGGTTTAGGGTTTAGGGTTTAGGGTTTAGGGTTTAGGGTTTAGGGTTTAGGGTTTCGGGTTTAGGGTTTAGGGATGAGCCTGCACCCTCAACAGCCGAGTTTTTGTCCCTATGAACCCTGCGAACCCTGTAAACCCAACACTGAAGCTCCCGAAGACACAGCCTGAACCTCCACTCCACCCCACACGGAGAGCCGTGGAGATTACATGGGTGGCTTTAAACCCTAAACCCGAAGCCCTGAAAACCCCTGGTTCGTTTCGGGGTACAGTATAGGGTTCCGGTTGGGGGGGGGGGGTTTGGGCGCTGTAGGGTTTGGGCTCTTGGGCTCAAGGCACCAAGCCGCCAAACAAAATGCCCAACCCTAAGCCCCAAACCCTAACTTGCGAGGACCCCCGTCTGCGAATGCCGAGACGGTGCTGCCAGGCTGCCCTCAAGCCTACACTCTGAACTGTCGCGTTCTGCGTATCCCCCTTGGCATTGCTGTCAACGGCGGAATAGCATGTCGGGTATAAAGCCGGAGGTATTCAGCATCTTTGGTATGGTTCCCTAATTAAACCCTAAACCCTGAACCCTGAACCCTAAACCCTAAACCCTAAACCCTAAACCCTAAACCCTAAACCCTAAACCCTAAACCCTAAACCCTAAACCCTAAACCCTAAACCCTAAACCCTAAACCCTAAACCCTAACCCTAAACCCTAAACCCTAAACCCTAAACCCTTTCCCTGCTGCAGCTGCTGCTCGACGCAGGTGAGCAAAGAAGTCCATCGTACGACTAGTAGTACGATTGCACTACTAATACATAAATATAAAATAAAGAAATATAAATATAAATAAATAAATAAATATATATATATATATATATATATATATATATATACGGTACTATGGCCATCCTACTGGCTTTTTCAAGCGGGCTTTCGCAACTGCGGCACCATGGCGGAAGTGGCTCTTTTGGAGCAATCGGCTTGCACGGATCCGCGCGCGATGGAGGCCCGAAGCCGAATTCCAACGGTTTAGGGTTTAGGGTTTCGTGTTTAGGGTTTAGGGTTCAGGGTTCAGGGCTCTATAGCCTAGCGTAGGGTTGATAGTTTGGCGAACCCTAAACAAGCCCTGACAAGCCCTCCATAAAATTTCCCAGAAGGCACACTTGAAGACCCGGAGACCCACAATCCCTAAACCTTAAACCCTAAACCCTAAACCCTAAACCCTAAACCCGAAACCCTAAACCCTAAACCCCTGGAATCAGAGATCTGCTGCTCCAGGAAGACCTCGCGCTGCTGGAGCAACTGGAGCCCGGATGCATCCCGAGCCCTCCGAGCGCTCGAAGCCATCGGAGCCCTTCATGCAAGGGTTTAGGGTTTAGGGTTTAGGGTTTAGGGTTTCGGGTTTAGGGTTTAGGGTTTGGGGTTTAGGGTTTAGGGTTTCGGGTTTTGGGTTGGATGAGAACTGAGCTTGGGCATCTTCAGACGTACGCGTTCAGATGTAGACGTCCAGATTTAGGGGCTTAAAATCATTCTGATGCAGAATTTCTGATGTAGCCGCGATTCGCAGGTTGAGTTGTAGATGAGCTTTGCGCGTATACAAGAAATTGCTGTTGAAGCTTATCCACAAACCCTAAACCCTAAACCCTAAACCCTAAACCCTAAACCCTAAAGCTTCGGGTCATGTAGGCTTCTGCTTTGCGACAAAGGGAGTTAGAGGTCAAGGATTTGATGCTTCAACGTGAGTGTTGAGGTTCTGCTCCTGGACTCTTAGGGTTCAGGGTTGAGGGTTCAGGGTTTAGGGTTTAGGGTGTTGGTTGGGATGTTCCCCCTTATGCTAACAGTCCTTAATTGAGATTGCAGCTCCCCCTATTATAGTTGCCGTTCAGGACTGTCAGCATAGGGGCATCCCAAGGTATTCCCTCAAAGCAACTTTGGCATCGCAAGTACTCGACAGGAGTGGTGTTCAGAATCCGTAGACTCAGAGGCAATGTGAGGAAAATTGCAAAGCCTCCCCTAAACCCTAAACCCTCAACCCTCAACCCTAAACCCTAAACCCTAAACCCTAAACCCTAAACCCTAAACCCTAAACCCTAAACCCTAAACCCTAAACCTAACCCTAAACCCTAAACCCTAAACCCTAAACCCTAAACCCTAAACCCTAAACCCTAAACCCTAAACCCTAAACCCTAAACCCTAAACCCTAAACCCTAAACCCCAAACCCTAAACCTTAAACCCTAAACCCTAAACCCTAAACCCTAAACCCTAAACCCGCTATCGTTGCGGAAGAAGTAAGGACTGCTTCTGACCTCTCGGAACCCCTTTCGCCTCTGAGCTGCCGCAGTGATGGCATGCCCCTGAGCCTCCGCAACTGGGTGGTTAAGGAACTTAAACTAAACAGGGGTTTGGGGTTTAGGGTTTCGGGTTTAGGGTTTAGGGTTTAGGGTTTAGGGTTTCATACATCATGGCATAGTACAAACTTTACGGCACATGTGTTTGATTAAAGTTCCTTTGCACGCCCAGGCAACAAGACCGCCTTCGACTTTTCTGGGCATGTGCAGAGCCCTTCCGGGCAACTTACCGTCGGTTAGCAGGGAATGAGGGAATTAGGGCCAGGAATACCCTTGAAAGAGCGATATAGGGCCCTATATATACCCTTTAAGGGATTCTGTAGGGTCCCTCATTCCCCCATTCCCTACTGGGGCCACTTACCTAATATAGGGAACCCAGAACCCAGAACCCAGAAGCCAGAACCCAGAACCCTAAACCCTAAACCCTAAACCCTAAACCCTAAACCCTAAACCCTAAACCCTAAACCCTAAACCCTAAACCCTAAACCCTACTAAGGCAAGCGTCGCCAGCCTCCCCGGCATCTGACAGCCCTGATGAACAGACTCCTCCCACCACGAGACGCTCTTCGAGAAGGGTGCCCTCCAATCTTGTGAAGCTCAGCTCTGATTAGGGTTTAGGGTTTAGGGTTTAGGGTTTAGGGTTTAGGGTTTAGGGTTTAGGGTTTAGGATTTGGGGTTTAGGGTTTAGGGTTTAGGATTTGGGGTTTAGGGTTTAAGGTTTAGGGTAGCTTCCGGGTTTGGGGTTTAGGGTTTAGGGTGTTTTTTGTTAGTATGTGTTGATTTTGTTAGGATGTTCGTTGCAATTCTGTGCCTACATACATATTGCAATCAACATTCCTGTAGTCATCTTGAACTGCACTATATCCCCTCCTCGACGTACCCTGAAGGGTATCTCATGCCCTCATTCCTTACTAAGACCGCCGGGAACCTGGGGGGGGGGGGATGGTATAGAGGGGGGTACTAGGGGAACCCATGTAAGGAAGATGGAGAAGGTGAACGAGTCTTTTGAGCTCGGCGACGTGGTCCGCGTCAGGGTGCCCAAGCACTTGCAGTACGCCCTCCAGGATGCGCGGTCCCTTCCCAAAGACAAGGAGCCTTGTCACCCGACCCTAGAAGCCCTAGAAGCCCTCCTAAAACCCTAGAAGCCCTGCCCAAACCCTAGACCCTAGACCCTAGACCCTAGACCCTAGACCCTAGACCCTAGACCCTAGACCCTAGACTTTTGCCCCTAATCCCCAAACCCAAAACCCTAAACCCTAAACCCTAAACCCTAAACCCGAAACCCTAAACCCTAAACTCTATGAACCCTAAACCCCTACAACCCTGAGCTCAAAGGAGCCAAAGAAGATGGTCGAGAGCTCTTGGACCATGGGCAAGGATCAGCTCATGGTCGACGGACAACCCGACCCTTGCGGTTTAGGGTTTAGGGTTTAGGGTTTAGGGTTTAGGGTTTAGGGTTTAGGGTTTAGGGTTTAGGGTTTAGGGCTTAGGGTTTAGGGTTTAGGGATTCTTGGGAATAGTTTCTATTTTTTTGGGGTACTGTAATTCCTAAGAAGCAGCGTTCAGTATAGGACCGCGAGATGCACGAGGAGCACGTGCAGAATCTGAACCATGGAGGCAAAGAAGTTTGTTTCAGGGTTTAGGGTTTAGGGTATAGGGTTTAGGGTTTAGGGTTTAGGGTTTAGGGTTTAGGGTCAAGGGGCGTCGTGGGTTTTTTGGGTTTTGGGGTGTATCTGCATCGTGCGGCGAAGAGGCAGGAAAGGCTTGAGGTTATTGAGTTGCTCTTGGGCTTTGAGGGTTTAGCGTGTAGGGTTGAGATTTTCGGTTTTAGGGTTTAGGGCAAGGAGCCTCCATTTTGGGGTTTTCGCGGGTTAATCTGAACCATGAAGCGAACAAGCAGGTAAGGGGTTTAGGGCTCAGGGTTCAGGGTTTAGGGTTGTTAAGAAACCTGAGTTTTGGAGGGGGGGTTTAATGGGGGGGGGGGGGGGGGCGGTCTCAGGGGGCTGAGGTTTACGATACGAGCCGAACGAAGCCCGGAAGTGTACTCAGGCCCCCCGGATGTCCCGGTCTCAAACGCAATTTTTGGCGATCTTCCCAGAATTCAAAGTCGATGCCTTAAACCTTGAGCCAAAATTTGGGTTAGGGTTTAAGGTTTAGGGTTTAGGGCTGCTAAGTAGCATGAAAGGATTCCCTTTTGGGCAGTATGCTGCAATGGTCCCCGCTGCTTTCGGGTTAGGGCTCACAGGCAGAAAGCCCCAGAGCCGTAGAGCTTAAATGGCAACTCCGAGATTAATGAAGCCATGGTGGGAAAAAGACCCGGAAACCATGTCGAGATGGCAATATCGCAAATATTTTAGACACAAGCGCCTGATACGCAAGCCCGAACTTGAGATCGATCTTACAGTCTATCAACATCAACAGGTTAAGAGCCTCGAGACTCTACCAACTGAGCAGGAGAAGGCGGGCACTTAGCAGAATGTTGGTATACAGTCTGAACTTGGCTCTGCGGACTTTGCTACAAAGGCGGGCGCGGGTAGCATGGCGGAGACAGAGAGAGCTGATAAGCAGGTGCAGAGCGACCTGGGCCTTGATATTCACATACCGAACTTCCTTCCCTTCTTTAACCCGTTTGAGACTGCTGATGTGGCCACGCAGACTGGGACTGTTGTCCCGGAGCCGGGGGGCAGCGCAAGCACTCCTGCCAGGCGCGAAAAGCG